ATAATTACCTTGTTAGCCAATAGAATTATTTTTAAAATCACAAAAATTAACAATTGTGGAATAAGATTTTAAAACTCTCACAAACCTTCTCACTAGAAACCTCAATTTTCCTTATGTAATATATAAATAATGATGTACAATGAGCAAGAGCTATTAGAGCTGTCAAATAATACCAATTTTTTAGTTGTAATTTTTTTTTATTTTTAAAATGGGGCTGTAAACGGTTTAATATCCTGATTTGAGTCCTTTCTGATATCCTTTTCTTCTATTATTCTTACTTGACAAAAAAAAAAAAAAAAAAAAAGAGTTAATTACACTAAGACTCCTTCAATTATGAATTCATATATATTGATCGTCTTAATTATCAAAATTATACAAATACATTTCTTTTAGAGATGAGTTAAAGGGAGTGAAAGTAATTGTTGGCTTTTTGGCTTTCAAAGGTTATTTTTGTAATTGCGAGCGTGCCAGCAAGGATCAATCAATCCTTACAGAAAATTAATTGCCAACCAATTATCAGATGATTGTGTTTTAGTTCTTTCAGCCTCAATGAAGAGGACTTTTACTGGTGGCTTGATTTAGGAGAATCAAGCAAAATAACAATTAAATGAAGAACAATTGAAGCATTTCATTAGAATGAAAAACTTAAAATGATCCAAACTCAGCCTTGTAGAGGTTTACAACGACAATCTACTTGAAACTACTCCTATGAACGAAGTGCAGTGCAGGAATTTTAAAGTGCAGAAATGTAAAGAATATGAAATATAAATCTGGAAATGTAAGATTGGAAAAGAAATAAAGTAGAATAAGACTGTTTTTTTTGGATCTGAGTCTGGGTTTTTTGGATCTTCTCTGCTATTTATACTTCTCAAGGATGACCATCGAACTGCATTTCCAACCGTCGAACTGCTCCTCCATGATCGTTGATCATGTTGCCTTATAATTAGCTCCACTATGCTATCTCTTGCAGTTAGACTTCCCTCCTAATTTTGAATTTAAATATGAGTAACCATTGAAGCCACGTCACTCTGTATCTCTTTGTTGATCCACTGCTACTCAGATCTCGTAATAACTAATATTAACTGCCACGTGTACGATCAGGATCGAAGACTTGAATAGTCTTCATGTATTACCCTTATTCTGCCACGCGTCGAATTGTAGTTAGCTTGTACAAAATATGTAGCCAACACTACCCCCCGCACTAATATACCAAATACTTGGTGATATTAGTGGATCAAGGTCTTTTACCCACGTCTTGGAACGTGCATGGGCTTTGCATTCTTCCAGAAATGCAACTGTCATCCATCATCTGCATTGAACTTTCCTTCAATCTTTTGAACACCCCCACCACCTTAGCATTCGAACAGACTGATACATTTTTTTATAGCCGAATCAGTTTTCTCCTCCATTGATCGAGCACACGAAGAGTCATCTGATGATGCTGTTCCTCCTTGAAAGAACCTCCATGCATTAATTAGCCACCTTTACCCACCTTTCTATATTCAGGTCATGGATGCCTTTGCAAATTATCAACCCTTGGACTACGAACATATTGCCCTTAATCCTTTGATTCAGAAACTTACAAATATGGACATGGGAAGTTCTTCTTCTGACTCACCCTTGGACTACGAACAAACTGCTCTTAATCCTTTGATTGAAAGTCGCAGATATAGACATGGGAAGTTCTTCTTCACAATCCTCTGCGTGGGATAAGGCTGCAACTTCTTCTTCTTCTGGGGCTTCTGATTGGACAAGTTGGTCAAAACCTGAGGCCTGTGATTTAAGGGAGCGAATCAACCATCACTTTGTCGAGTTTACTGACCCTTTAGAGTTCCCTTCCTATGTACGAAGCTCGGCGGTCTACCCTTACGTGCCCATCGACCATCGATGTAGTTTGGAGAAAAATCTGCTTGTAGTATGGTACACATCCTCCATGCCTACAAAGATAGTGCACGCTGCCCAACGCCCTGAAGAGGCACAAGGGTACACTCCATCGTTCTTAGCTCAGAAGGCGAAGCTTTGGTCTTTTGACTGGCTCGATTATATTAATGCCCTTGTTTCTTCTGCCTTTGCTCCTCCTCCTGAAGTAGAGACTTCCATACCTTCTCCTCTACCAACTCTTTGCTGGACAGAAAGAATGAGGCTTGCCCTCTCCGCAGATAAGGTCTTTCCACCTTACAAGCCTCCACCTCCCCCTACTCCAGCTGAGCGGAAGTAAGCCCAATTCCTACTTGCGGCCTTCTCTCACTTGCCCTTCAGTGTTCTTGAGGACGAAGTCCCTCTCAAGAGTCTTCGATGGGCTTGTGACATTCTGACCCGGGGTCATGTCCTCAATCCCCTCGCCCAAGCAGAGCTTCACATGTTTTTGGACCAACTTCCATCGCTTCTTCACTGGCATCGGATCTCTACAGCCACCACTCAATCTTTGGATCAACTCTCGTCCCTTCGAATACATGCCCAATACGAAGCAGAGAACTTCATTGAAGAATTCGAAAACTTCAAGAATAAAGATTCTGCGTACTGGGATGACTTGGATATAAACGAGTTGGAACAAGGATTGAGAGAAACAACATTCGAAATAAAGGCCGAAGAGCTCTTCTATGAAGTGAGAGCACATCAACTTATGCAGCCAATCCTAGAAGAAATAGAGGATAGAATAAAGAAAGAACAGAAATTCATTGATCATAGTTGGACTAAATTTCACGATCTTGTAATTTATTCTATTCCCTACTTTTATGAGCTTGAATTTATACCCAAAGAGGGCCATTCAATGTAATTGCTTTTGCTTTAATACAACTAATACTTTTTCCTTGTCTGGCATTGTTTGGTCTTGTCTTCGTTTGTTTTTTAAAAGCAAATTTAGGGATTCGAACTAAACAATCTTATCCTTCGAACCTGGACTCAATTGTTTTAAATGAAACACTAAAAAGAATCAATATGAACTTTTCCAATTTATGGAATATAGTTGACAGTTGTTGCTGATTTTCATTCAGAATCAGTGTTTCGAATTTAACATTCTTACCTCTTAAAGCTTATTTTAATCATAACCAACATATGGTCATGGCTAGTATGATCAATCAGTCTTAAATTGACCAGTTTTTTGCTTCGAATGACAGTTCATGCTATTTCAGTTCAAAAGACAATCTCTTTCTGTATATATACAAACCAACTATTGGTTTTAATGTTTCGAACATCAATTCTCATCCTTAAGGGGTCTCAAGTTTTGCCTCGAAGAACATTACTTTCATTAAGAGACCTAAAACAGGTCTTTAATCCCTTTGAAGTAAACAAGTACTTGAGTATTCTTACATCTTTAAGTATGGAATGTGCTTCGAAGCCAGCTTCTCTGTTTCGAAGCCGTTGTTATTTGACTTTTGGCGCCAAAATCAGTTTTCGAAGCCAAATATTTTTCTTCGAAGCTGGCATTAACATCTGGGCTGTGTTTTTTCCCTCCAAAGTGTCAATATTGAAGGAAACTCTTTGTATTTGTTCTTTTAGTACTTAACGAATTATGCGATATATCTTCCAGACACAAAGGCTTTTAAAACCCTTTTATTTCGTGCTCTGAAATCACTTGCTCGTTCAACACACAAATCCTTTATCTCCACCCATTTGCCACTTCTCTCTACTCCCTTTCCCAGCTTTGTCCTCTGAGAAAGCGTTCTATCAATGGCTTCTTCTTCATTGAAAGTACCAGTCGTAGAGAGTGCCAGCCCGTCTGTAGCCCTGAAAAGAATCATTGATGTAGAATGTGAAAAGTACAAGGCTGGGGAGAAAAGCGCTATCGACGGACGCATCTTCATCCCTCGTCGTCATGTGCAACAAGACTATGTGCTTGGGCCCATATTCAAGGAGGTTCTTACTAAGCTTCCAGCCCTATATCCACGCCTGGAAGACCATTGTCTCCTTTACGAAGGTGGCCTTGACTGGAGGAACTGGAGGACGAACCGCCCCCACCGATGCTAGCCCACAGTGAGACCGGAGTGGCAAGAATGGTATGATCAGGTTGTCCCTGATAGGACTCTGGACCTTCAAGAAATCTGCCTTCTCGACGCCCTTCGACTATCCAGGTCAACTATCTCAGAGGACCCTTTCTTAATTCCTACTGCCTTATGCTTTTGGAATCCTGTTTTTAATTTCTTTCAATTCAGAAGTGAGATGATGGCCCCTACTGTTCTTGACATTTGCCATCTATTAGGATTATCTCCCATTAGAACCACCATTGCACCAGATTATCCTAACCTAGCAGGCGCTTTTTCCCTCCCCTCTCTTAACTCATCCTATAGTGACTTTGTCAACGCTGAGAATAAAAGGGAGGGTCCTGTGACCGATAGGAACCTTTTTTCTTTCTTACTATATTGGCTTTGCAAATTCCTTTTCTGCACCTCATCTCAAAGAATCATGCCTGAATTTGCCCCTCTTGCCAAAGCCCTTGTTTTACAGAAGAGAGTGGCTTTAGCTCCATACGTTCTAGGTCACGTATATAAAGCATGTTCTCTTTTCTGTGAGAAACCCTTAGATGCCAATCAAGGGGGGCCATTTTGGATTCTTCAGCTTTGGCTTTTTGCTTATTTCACTGAGTTACAATCCAAATGCCTTAAATTTTTTGAGTCAAACCCTCCTACTCATGGCATGAGGCTAGCCAATGCTTCACTTTATCCTTCTACCTTTGCTTTTTACTTCTCTTTTTTCCACCAACTTCCAGCTTCTCTTCCTTCTTACAACTTTCGTCCCTTCGAACCCATTACTATTGGCCCATCTTGGTTGAAGAATGTTCTAAGTGATAGGCTCTGTGCTTCACCTCCTCACAAGGATATATGGGCTTCTATTCTGATCCCCAGGGAGCTATTTATTGGGACTATGAACCCCAGAGCCTACAAATGCATTGCTGAGCCCTATTGTCCTGCTCAATTTGTTAGACAATTTGGCTTCTCAAAAGGGGTCCCAATACCTCTCTGCAGTAACAACTAATAGAGAATTAAAAATTGAAAACATGAGAATTGAAAATTAAAAACATGTAAGTTATTAGTACTTACATGAGAATTAAACCATCTGGGAAACTCATCATTGTGACGGCGATCCACATCAAAATCTTTAAGACGACGATGTGACCGCTTAATAAAATCACGATGCTCCCTATACATTTAAAGTACTTATAAAATGCAAGATACTTATTAATGGTATCAATAAAATTTTGGAACAAAGATTGTATCTTACTCTCGATATGGGACAACTGCAGTAGTGTTAAATAACACATACCGATGAGCTTGTACCCATGATGTGTTATCAAGCGCAAACCCTTTTCCTTTTCCTAAAGCATGACCTAGTAATATCCCAGGATTGTCGCTAACATCGTAATTCCATATTGGTCGATTCAATTTTGACTCGACATCATCCAAGTACCTTGAGCAAAAGGTCATACACTCTTCAACTAAGTATCCCTCTGCAATTGAACCTTCTGGATGACTTCGATTACGCATATATGACTTAAGTGTCATAAGATACCTATAAACAAACAAATGCACACATGACTTTCAATTATAAACAAACAAATGACTACAACCTTAAATTGGAGTAGAATTGCACACCTTTCTATGAAGTACATCCAGCGATATTGCACTGGACCAGCAATCTTGGCCTCCTCTGCTAGGTGAATAGGCAAGTGCTCCATTATATCGAAAAAGGATGGAGGAAAAATTCTCTCAAGATGACAAAGTGTAAGAGCAATTTGGGATTGAAGACGATCTAACCCATCTGGCTCTAAAGTTTTGGAGCACAGCTGCCTGAAGAAATTGCTTAACTCAATCAATGGTTCAACAACTTTTTTCGGTAACAAATTTCTCACTGCTATTGGAAGTATTTGTTGCATCAATATATGGTTGTCATGACTTTTCAGTCCAGATATGCTATGTTGTTTGAGGTTAACACGACGAGAAATATTGGATGCATACCCATCTGGAACTTTGATATTCTTCAGGAGTGTACAAAACAAACCTCTCTCTCTATTGTTCATAGTGAAACATGTAGGCGGCAAATAATACCTCTTCCCAACCCCTTTTTTAGGATGTAATGCCTTTCGAATTCCCATATCTTGCAAGTCTCGACAAGCATTTAAATTATCATTTCCTTTCTCATCAACATTTAATATTGTCCACAATACATTATCACACACATTCTTCTCAATGTGCATTACATCAAGATTGTGGTGAATCAAATTATGCTCCCAATATGGAAGCTCAAAGAAAATACTCCTCTTCCTTCAATTATGATCCTCCTCGTTGTCCTCTTTTTCCTTTCCTTTCCTAGTTCTTTTTTGTCTGTTAGTTGGTTGATGTTTAGGCCCTAGCTATCATAACACATTAGCCCTCGATAACCGAGTTGGACATGGTTCAAATTCAAAAGTTCCATCAAAAGACACATCGTCTTTTCGAAATTTGTGACTCGCATTCAACCAGCGGCGATGCCCCATGTAACAAATTTTCCTTCCATTCTTCAAATACTGATGTCGAGTATGTATGTTACAACAAGGACAAGCTAAAGCACCTTTCGTGCTCCATCCAAACAAATTTGCATATGCAGGAAAATCATTTATTGTCCACAATAAGACCGTGTGCAATTGGAACATTTGATTAGTTTCTGCATCGTACGTCTGAACACCATTTTCCCACAATTCATTCAGTTCATCCACTAACAAGCGCAAGTAGACATCAATGTTATTGCCAGGTGAAGAAGGACCATCAATGAGCAATATCATCATCATATGAGGTTGTTTCATGCACAACCACGGTGGCAAATTATAAGGCATCACAATAACTGGCTTACTGCTGTGAGCAACATTCATTGCCTTGAATGGATTAAATCCATCCACTGCTAAACCTAGTCTGACGTTGCGAGGCTCACTCGCAAACTTGGGATACAAAGTATCAAAATTTTTCCAGACAGGAGAGTTAGTAGGATGTCTCATTTTGCCCTCATCAATTCGGCCCTCTGCATGCCATCTCATTAATGAAACAGTTTTGGATGACATGAACAATCTTTGAAGCCTTGGAATCAAAAGAAAGTATCTCACAATCTTCTGGGAAATTCTTTGTTGCTTCTTTTTATAATCATTCTTCTCACCCTCAAACTTTTGTATCTAGGCGTCTGACACACTATGCAATCATCCCTACTAGCTATCTCCTTCCAATACAGTGAGCAATCTCTTGGGCATACATGTACCTTGTGATAATCGAGGCCCAATTCCCTAAGGAGTGCTCTCGTTGCATAGAACAACTTTGGCAAAGTTTCACCTTTTGGGAATGTATCCTTCAAAAGTTTAAGCAACATCGTGAAAGACTTGTCGCTCCATCCACTAAGGCACTTGATATGCAATAATCGAACAACAAATGAGAGTGTTGAAAACTTGTGACACTCTGGATACAACTCTCTTTCGGCCTCCTTCAATAAATTGAAAAATCTTTCAGTTTTCTTATCTGGGCCTAGTTCGATATTAGAACTTCCTGTCTCATTACTAGCAAGATGAACCAAGCTTGGTGGAGGAAGTCCGAACCCCTCATATATCATTTCATTGACTTCATCGTTATCATTTGAATCACTGACATTCTCATTCAATGGCACAGACGCCGGTAAATCTTCCTCGTGAAAAATCCATCTGGTGTAGCTTGGAAGAAACCCATTGACCATTAAATGTTCCCCCAAAAGGTCTTTCTTTACTAGTTTGACATTCCAACACCGTTTACATGGACATGTGACTTTAATTGATAGAGGATTATTTTGGCATGCAAGTTTAACAAATTCCTCAACCCCTTCTATATATTCTGGATGTAACCTATGCTGATTTATCCAACTTTTATCCATCTGACTTTGTCTCACACTACAAATGTCACTGCCAAATCAACAAGGTTCAAAATTATCATTTCATTTTAATTATTCTTAACCTCAATTAAGTACCTTATAATGCATGCGACATGACACCATTCACCTCTAACTCTTTTCTAATAGGTTGGTTTATCCTACTTTCCCATTCAGGAATGTACAGTCTATATTGTAAAAAGTAGCTCATACCGCTCTATCCATCTCTAACGAAATTTCGACAGCATCTCCCCATGGTTCTCCAAGTACACGACATAGACTAGGTTTACTGTCATGCCCCAAACTTGCCCCTAAAAGTTTGGGCATGACCTACACAGAAATGGACGCATAACCTGGTATACATATCATATGGGGCCTGAACGGAAGCATTTAGCAATATAAATTAACATAAATAAAAGAACTGCATCCATTGAGCGACCACTATCATGCCAGGATCACAGACAGAACATAAGGCAAATAAACATACAGTGACGTGCATCAGAGAATTAGCTATGTACATATATATATATATATATATATATACAGACCCAGCCCTTAGAATTGGGCGCAAAACAACATGGACAGGCAAAGGAATTATATATACATCAACCTTAAGCAGACAATCAGGGTGCAAAATCAAAAGCTTAGCAAAATGAGCTGCCCTCACTTAAGTGCCTGGACACTCTGTGGTTGACAAAAGAGGCACAAATGCCATGGTTTAAAACTGACCTCCAGATGGAATGCCTACAGAAACAGACATAACACAAAGTGAGTCAAGCTCAGTGAATAACTCCAAGCATATACTATGATGGTACGGCTCAGGAACTAACTAATCCTAGCATCTCACCCTCAAGGACTTGATGTTAATTTCTACAGGTAATACTGCATCATGCACATATACTAAGGCATAAGGAGTAATTCTTGTACTTGACCTTGGAGAAGTCCTATAAGCCCACAATACATCCAACAACAAGCTATGCCAATTCCTAGGATTGTCTTCCACAACTTTTTGTATTCTTTTTTTCAAGGACTTATTGGATGATTCAGCTTGACCATTGGCTTGTGCATAATAGGGGGTGGAATTAACAAAGCTAATTCCAAACTCTGCCACAAAAGACTTTATCATCTTCCTATCAAATACAGTCCCATTATCAACAGTTATAGTCTGTGGGATACCAAATCTATGGATTAAATATTTAATGAATCCAATGACCTCAGTCTAGTCTACAGCCTTGTATGGCTTCGCTTCGACCCACTTAGTGAAGTAATTAGTGGCCGTAAAATGAAACAATGATGCTTCGAAGAAGGTGGGTGAATTTTTCCCATCATATCCATGGCCCATCCTCTAAATGGCCAAGGCATCACTACTGCATGCAGGTCAGTTATGGGCACATGCCTTATTGTGCCATGCTTTTGACATGCCTGGCAACCTTTTGCATATTCTATGCAGTCTTTAAGGATAGTTGGCCAATAGTAGGAATGCCTTCGAAGCAACCATCTCATTTTCACCCCAGGCTGATGAGCACTACAAATGCCTTCATGAACCTCAGCCATAGCTGTTAATGCTTCTTTTGGGCCTAAACATTCCAGCAATAAACCATCTCCCCCTCTTTTGTGGAGAGCATTACCATAAATCATGTATTGCATAGATTGCAATTTAATTTTTCTGCTGGCCTTCGAAGATGGGCCAGCCAAGTACTGCATTATTGGATGCCTCCAATCTAGTTTTTGTAAGTCATTATGGTTGACTTCCAGGACCACATTCCTTTTATTCAAGGGTGGTATCAATTTCTGATATGTTGTTTGGCTTGTGTCTCTTTGAGCATTATCCCTTCTCTTGAAATTTGAAGCTTTCTGAGCCACATCCTTAGCTCTATTATTCAAGAATCTTGGGACATGAGTTACATTTGCTATTTGAAATTGAGAAAGCAGATGTAATGCAACAACATAGTATGGCAACATGCTTATACTTTGACATTTGAAAATCCCTTTCACTTGGTTAACCACCAATTTAGAATCTCCAAATATGTCGACCGCATGAACTTGTAATCCAATAAGAATTTCCAGTCCCACTATTAAGGCTTCATATTCAGCTTAATTATTAGAACAAGTAATTTCATCCACTCTGAAACCATGTGTGGTTTCTACTCCTTGTGGTGACTTAATCACTATACTGTGTGGTTTCTACTCCTTGTGGTGACTTAATCACTATACCAATTTTAGTTAGGCCATTGGCTTTTGATCCATCGAACCACATTTGCCATGGCTCAACACTAGCCATACCAAGTTTCATTATCTCTTGGCTTTCTGTTTGAGATGGATGGTTTGCCAAAAAATTAGCTAAAACTTGTCCTTTTATTGCCTTTTGGGGAACATATTCTAAATGAAATTCTGATAAGGCTAGTATCCACTTGCCAATTCTTCCCCTCAACATAGGTCTAGATAACATATACTTAACCAAATCTGTGGTTGCAATTACCAAGACAGTTGTAGGCAAAAGATAGTATCTTAATTTCATTGCAGCAAAATACAATGCAAGGCACAACTTTTCTACAGCTGAATATTTACATTCACAAGAATTTAAAAACCTACGAAGGTAATAAACAGCTTGCTCTTTGCCTTTTTCATTGTCTTGGGCTAAGAAAGCTCCCAATGAATCTTCTGCTGCAGCTATGTACAACTTCAAGGGCATCTCACCCTTTGGTGGCATCAACATTAGAGGGTTGGCCAAATAGGCTTTGATACCTTGGAAAGCAATTTGATGCTCTGCTGTCCACACAAATTCCTCTTCATCTTTTAGCCTTAATAAGGAAGAAAATACTTTAGTTTTCCCTGTAATATTAGAAATGAATCTTCGAAGAAAATTAACCTGTCCAAGGAACTTTTGTAATTCTTTCTTACTTGATGGAGGTCTGGCTTCAATGATGGCTTTAGCTTTATTTTAGTCAATCTGTATTCCTCTCTTGTGTACTACATAGCCCAAGAAGTTTCCAGATGATACGCCAAAAGCACACTTAAGAGGATTGAGCTTCAACTTGAACTTCCTCATTCTTTCAAAGGCTGCTTCTAAGTGAAACAGATGCTCCGAGCTCATCCTCTGAGGCGAGAATGGTGAGTCACGACTGGTTTTTCAACTAGAAATGTTTGTTCAGCCATGA